CCAAATAAGCCTTTCAATATCCGGAATTATGACGATTCTACAACTTATGTAAGCATATGATAATTACCATTATCTATCGGCACAGCCAAAGTGATTCCGGAAATGCCATTTCACGCTATAAACAACTATTTGGTTGATTCGGTACAAAGATTTCAATCTACATACATATTTACAACAATTTTATTTCTTGGCTATACCCTATAACAATCCCCAAAAAATATATTTCCCTTTGATGTTGAAACGAAGTTTGATTCAAAATATTTCGTTAACAAATATACTTTTCCAAAAAGCATATTTTAAAGTGTATAATATATCACTAAAGTAGACATGATTTTTAGTCTATAAGATGTTCTACCAATTGAAGTCTTTGTTCATTAAATATCCACCGACATTTGGTTGAAAATAAATGTGCATGATATCTACATAAATCTCCTTATGTAGATAAATATTTGTAATTGTCTTTGAATATGACCAAAGTCACTTGCATGTGAGCCTACAGCTAAAAGTCATAAAGTATTGTCTTTAACAAATATTATAATTATGTGATATATTGTCTTTGTGTTATGAAATATTGAAACATTGTCTATAAAACTATATTATGAAATAATGAAATATTCTTTATATAAAATATACATGAAATATTGTCCATAAAAATGTCATCTACTATATATTATGAAAAAGCATGAAAAAGCATACATATGAAATATTGTCAATAAAAGGGTTATACATGTACATTGTCTATATAAAATATCTCACTTTCAATATATGCATGGAATATTGGAATATTATATATTGTGTATTCAAACAATTATTCATGAAATACTGACTATGAAATATTAGACATGAAATGACACATCTATCCAAGATGGAGAAAATTTCTTGCATCATGAATGTCACAAAGTTCTGATTTGGTGAACTTGAAGACAAACATTGATATATATCTAATATAAATATTATGACTCCGTCTGTGGGAATGTATATAAAATATCGCTTTGTTGAAGATTCAAGAATTGACGTAGCTTAAATAAATCCTTGACAAGAGAGGATGAGAACGGAAAAGCGTCTAGTAGAATTTGTATGGCATAATGATAAATAAATGAAATGATATAGATAAAATGATGTTGATGATATCTTGAGGGTAATAAAGGTCATAGTAAATGTTACTAGTAAAAATGAACAGTAATATACACTATGGGTGGTCAAGATAATACTTTATTTCATATCTATTATATTTCCTATACCGTTTTATATCAATACCAGCTTATAATCCAATGTTAGTTCAGCTTAAATTGAATCAATGAACCAACCCCCAATAATTATTGGAAATCTCTAAACAACATTTTAATTCTATAATCTCTAAGTTCTTATTCAATTTTAATTCTATATCTCTTTAATAAACTACTTTCAATACTTTGATAACTATTAAAGGGACAGATGCGCCATTTCTTTTGACCAATAATAGAATGTTTTACTTGAGATTTTAAATTTTTAGATTTTGCTTTTGATGCATACATTGATGAATTCGATCCGTGTGCAATAAATATCTTGTTGAGAAGTTGATCTCTTCCAACAAGAAAACATATCACTGTTGTTATGCTATTTGGAGAAATCATCTTCAGACAAATGATGGCAAATAGTTGAACTAATAATGTTCGACTTCTACCATTTTACATCCGATTTTCTTGTTACTTGTCACCTTGAAGACGTTGACTACTTTCATTTACTGCAGTAAATTTTCTATTTTGATGTTATTGTGGATGTCAGTAGAGAATTAAACAATTAATTAACATCGTCACCTTACTATATCTGCCAATTACAATCTGAACTTGTCCATATTTGAAGTAAATTAATTGATAATTTGTAGATATCGTGTAGTCTTGTAGGGTCCGCGTGTCTTTACTTGTCTAATTGATGGCTCATTAACAACATATTTGCTTTCTTTTGCACGCGCACACTATGGCATCTGACTGCTGCTGCGTCCATTAGTAGTGCATCGTTCAATGACGTTAAACAATTTATATTCTTGTGACAATACTGAACATTTTTCAAAGGAGGGCTCTTCTTCTCAAATCTTGGAAAACAAACAGAAGAAAAATACCCCAAATTTCGAGTGAGTCACGAAGAGTGCTAAGGGGAGGCAATCAGGCTTGCTAAAATGTCGCCCCCTATAGGCAGGATGTTGGTTATTAATACGTCCTTTAACAGGTCACATGATTCAGTGCACGTGCATTGTGCCTCTCGGCCACACTCAAGGCAAACGCCCGAAAATTAAGTGACAACTTTTACTTCCTTTGTAAATTGAATGAGTTGTTTTAGTGGAAGAATCTCTTGTTATTAAATAGGATACCTACTGTGATATTCTGTATTAAAGCTTGTGTCTTCACTTCATTGAATAGAGTCAATATTTCTCATTACCAGTTTATGACTGCACTATATTGTAAATGAGAGTTCATATATGTCTTTAGTACAAGCTAGTTTTACAAAGAGAATTACCAACAACAATTTCGTTTCTCTGTTAGAGTTTATCCTTAATGTAGCATCTTATACACTTAACATCCTATCTTACATATACAAAGATTTCCTAATTTGCTAATTATTATAACTTATAAATCCAGAGTCAGTGAGATGAAAAAAATCCGTTCGATTGGTTTAACATTACTTCAAATGAAGTCGTTTATGTTTGTTGACAGCTTGAGAAATCTTTCTCAGTGAAAGCTTTACATGATAAAGTATACTTTTCCTTTTCATTTCTTAATAACAAATTTCAGAAACATTTTAGTTCTCTTATAGATATATTTGTATGGGCTGTATATAAGTTTATGAGTAAACAAGCGGTGGCATTGTAGTCCCAATTCCGTCACTTGGTATAGAAAAGTGAATTAAGTTTTACGTCTTACTCTTCTGCACCTAGTGAGCAATGATGGACATTTTGTCAGGAAAATTGCGTTAGCCTACTCTTTTTCGATTTCCAATTGTCGAGTAGTCTGTTTTACATGGGGTCTCGGTTTATTGGCCCACCCGAAAGATTATTTCAGGCCTACCTGAGGTACTACCTCAACACATGCCGGGATTGTTTTTTCACACATAGCCAATACTTTATATGTGATAAATTTTGCACGAATGTTAAACATTTTAGAATAAATGTTATTGAATAATGTTAATTATAATTAGTAGTATATATATAATTTATGTAAACTATTTAATATACATGCTACCTCATGTCCTATTAAATACAATTATATTTAAATTATACCGAAATTAAATTGTATATAAATTTTAATATCATTTTATGTGTATTGGTGCAATATTTTAAGCAAACTTTTAATACAACATTAAAATCCTTACTCTTTTATATTTTTGATGCGGTGGAAAATTATATAATGATGATGATATTTATAAGTCAGCAGAAAAGCAATGTTTTACATTCATTTATAAAAAAAGAAGAAGACAGGAAGAAGAAGAAGAAGGAGTAAGTGTTGAGAGAAAGAAAAAGAAGAGGTACTGGAACAAGAACATGAACAAAAACATGAACAAGAAGAAAAAAACAAAAAAAGAAGAAAACTCAACCATAAAAAAATGGGAGATTCGATTCAAGGTTTTGAAAATATGAGATGGGTTTTATCAATATTAGATTCAATATTTCCTATGATTAGCTAAAATTAAATTTATCACGACGATCTGCAAATGAAATAAAAAAATTTCGTGGGAATTCTCTGCCAAATATAGATATATACGGCAAATCTCGGTGATCTCTGTAAATTAACGTCATTGGCAAAAGCGATCTGAAGATTACAAATGAAACATTTTGAATGGCGACTTATTTTTTTATGAAATACAAATCAAAGTTTAACTTGGTTAGCCAAAACTAAAATTTGGTGTGACAAATCGCTAATCAAATTTTTAAATAGAACCCTATATACCTGGTTGAAATGATTGGGTTAAAACACACAATTTGCAAGTTTATATACAACTGCTATAATTGTTGATTATCACTTTACAATCCTATACAATTTCAATTGCAATATTAAACAGAAAGTAGAATTTTAAACTCAAATCAGTTATAAAATCTAAAAAAAAATCGTTAATTGGACTCAATCAAAACAAAAATAAGATAACTTGATAGGCTCTTTTTTGAAATCTTAGTTTATTACAGTTGCATAAAAAGGGGCATAATCATGAAAATCCATTCCTGATTTGGAATAGTTTTATCTTTTACTTAAAGAATTCCTTCAATTCTTGTGTAATTTATTGGAATAGTCAGGAATTGTTAGTCGGATAATAGTGAACAAAATGCCATTTAAGTTCTTTATTCCCTTGATAAATCGGTCTACTTTACTGAAGTGTTCTTTTCACGCCGCTCAACTACCGTTACACAAAGTGAAAATATATTGAATGTGAAAATATCAGATAGATACGCTAATTTACTAAACACGTTATGATAGGCTACTAAATATTGACGATAACACGCACTTAATATAAAGGAGTGGCCAAAACAATCAAACGACATTTGATTGGATATATCTACTGTAGTCAGTTCAATGATTGACAGATAAAGGCGTCGATTATGTTGTAGCTCAAACAATAATGCTTGTAAGTTGAGAATTGAAGTATTTGTGAATTGGATTTAAAACTAGTAGCAAGTGTTTCATGACCACTTTGTTCTTAGAACTTTAAAAGATACTAGTAATTCTAAAGACATGGTTCAAATTGAAAATATGAATAACAAGCGATCTTTAAATCCGTTCAGTATCAGTAGATTAGTAGGAGATGATGTAGAGTGTTCACAATCTACTACAGATGACCATTGTGATAAAAGTTTGGAAGAAACTTCTTATCGTGAAGATTTCGTGGATGTTGTTAGTGAGGAAGCCGATGACAGACCAAGTTTTGAAGAGAATATGTCGGGTGCTGACGATAGTGGGGATGAATTAAGAGATCATCTGGAAGAATTAGAAGAAAAACAGAGTGAAAATGGTGAAGATGGCAAAGAATCCGATTCTAAAGAGGAGAAAAAAGCGGAAAAGCCACCATTTAGTTACAATGCGTTGATAATGATGGCTATTCGCGGAAGTCCAGAAAAGAGATTAACTTTAAGTCAAATCTATGAATTTATTATGAAAAACTTTCCATATTATAAAGACAACAAACAAGGATGGCAGAATTCTATAAGACATAATCTTAGTTTGAATAAATGTTTTCTTAAAGTTCCTCGTCATTATGATGATCCTGGAAAAGGAAACTATTGGATGTTGGATCCTTGTTGTGAAGATGTATTTATTGGTGGAACTACTGGAAAACTGAGGCGTAGATCTACATTAGCCACCAGAAGTCGATTAGCTGCTTTAAAAAGAGCTGGGTTTCCACCATTATCAGTTCCCGGATATCCATACCCTACAGATCGACTCCATCCATACGCAGCCTGTACACCACTCTATGCTCTACCAGGATTTCCCGGGGCGCGGTATCCATCTTTACCCTATACAGCATATCATGGAGCTCTATCGTTCCCTAATACAATGGAACGAGCTGTGCAAAAACCATTAAGTTTTTCAGTAGATAGACTTTTGTCAGATTCAGCAAGAGTGAATGAGAATGTTACAGAGTCAGTTCCAGCGTCGCAGGCATTACCACGACAACCAAATTCAGCAGTATTCAGAAACCCTTTGATTCTACCTTCCTTTTCTGCAATAGATCCACGTAATATGGAGTTGTATTTAAATCAACTCAGGTCTTTTCCACTCTCTCCTTTCGCTGGAATGGGAGCCTTTACGTCACCTAACAGACTGTTGAAATTACCATCTTCATTTGCTTCTGCCGAGTCATCATTTTCACCGGTAGTTTCTGTTAGTGATAAACAATAAAATTCCACTGGATGTGTTAATAGTGAACTACATTAATATGTATTATATACATACAGTTAGGAGAAATCCCCTTAAAATGGTGCAATCAACATGAAAAATACAGGATACCAAAATGATATTAAACATTTAAATTATAACTTTATAGCATTTCATAGACAATTTTATGCAGAATTTTGTTTCAAAAGTTCTAAGACGACGTATGTGCTATTTTTCTTTTGTTAAAATTGTATAAAGTTGTTATATGTTATTATTATTATTGTTGTGTTGTGGAAGTCAGAAATAGAATGAATTAGAGAGAAAGAAAGAGGGCTAAATTAAAGGTAATAAAATATCTCAGTTATATTTTATTGTAGAAAGATTAATAAATATTTATAATTTAATTCTTATAGTTTTTATTTTAAATTAACATTATTTCGTGTGACAAAATGTCATAAAATTTTCAAATATATATATTGCATTACGTCTGAAGATATAAGCATAATTCATTTATACCGCAACGTGTAATTTAACATGAGTTAAATATACAGTTTTTCAGTTGCAAAGCTGTTAATATAATCCAAAACGAATTTCCATTTATCATTCCATTCATATTTTGTACTATAAGGGCATCTGAATAACTGTATGAATGAACTCACGGTTTAAATGTAAAAGTTGAATCACGAGGAATATCACACAATCCGAATTTATATCTTAAATTTGAAGCTACTTGGAAATTACAAATAATTATTTCATTTTAATTTTTTTTATCGGATTTTGAAATATTCTTTGTAATTCCAAATGCTGTCTTCTAGCTTATCGTGTTTGCAACCACTCTTTTTTAAAATATATTACATGTATAATCAATATTGATCGTGAGTTATATTTAACAAAATGTACACGATGTTTTTAGAAACAGTGATCAGCTGTATAAAAGTCATTTATCATTGAGTCTTTTTACAGACTAACATGACTGCTATAGTGGAATTCATATATAAATACACATACAACAAACAGTATAAAGCTGTATAGAAAGCTAGAAGGAAATATATTAATAAAATCTATATAACAAAAATCCAAAAAGAGCTAGATGAAAAATCTAGACAGAATATTGATATAAACTGACTAGAAAATATATAAAGGGCAAGCTAGAAAACATAGAAAAGGATAGCTAAAATAAAACGATAGATATTATTGAAGAAAGGGGAATATGTGGTAAAAATTCCCTCTGATTGAAAATACGTGTACACATTTAAGTCAATTGCCTTTCAAGTGTTTGTCAAATTACAAAATGGCAGACTAAACTTGAATCATTATCTAGAATCAAAATCTAGATTATTTTGTTTAAATTTTACAATGTAAACAACAAAATAACTCAATTGCATACCCCTTATGTCTTTTTATGTTGCTTATTTTCATCTCTAAGGATATCATATTGTCAGCAAAGGACACATTCAGTAATCTAAGTTCAAAGACTTATAATATAAATATTCTATAAACTCAATTCAACATATCTCTATTATTAGTAATAGTATATATTATAGTTAACAAAAAACCCATAAAAATAACATCATATTCAAGCATTAAATTTTCTTGACAAAAAGGGGGGATTTTAATATCAATATTAGTTGTAAAATATTGGTCGCTACATTTCAAATTCAAAACTATATTTATCTACTGGATATTAGACAACAACCTTTGTCCTCACACAATCTGAATATATCAAACAAACAAGCAAAAACTATTACCTAAAAAAAAGAAAGCAGAAAAAAGAGAAGCCATTGAATTGGGAAATTTCAACAAAGATTGACTTTGCAGATATCAATGACATGATATCAAAAGGAATAGAAAATGATTGCATGTCCCAAATTCCTTTTCCATATTCTTTGCCACCATTTTTTGTCTATGTTTCTGTACAGTTTGTGTATATTCGAGAACGGAACGTTATAATTAAAGTACATTAAATAAAACTAAACGAGTAATTCATAAATCACGTAGCTACATTTTTCTGGTAATTTTAAAAACTTAATTATGATTTGATATATCCATTATGTTTGTTTGGTCATAAAAATATTGTATTTCAAAACAATGTTGTTCATAACGAAAACAAGGCAATAAGAATCGTAATTCAAAACGGCAAACATATTTTTCAATGTAATGGAGTATTTTTAGTCATAGTTCAATAAAATCAAAGCTATTTTTAACTCTGATATTATTCCCACATTCTACATCTGTTTAACAACATCATTCTCCTAATCCATTTACAAATAACCAGAAAATTGAATTCGATTTTCTCCTTGTTACTTTAAAACACTATAGAGATTAGTAACTTGTAATCCGTATAGACATTATAATAATATTTGTATTCGTATGAAAGAAGTTGACAAGATTGAACAATATAAATCATTATTGTTTGTTCACATTGTTTATCAGCACCGTGTATTTGTAGACTAATCGTACAATATGTTGTATATGCTAGTAAACATGTGGGAGGGATTATTGACACAGCTTTTCAATATTCAATGCTTCATTCTACAAGTTTCCCTACACCTTCCACAGATTATGTGGGTACAGTGGTTGTTTTTAGCTTTCTCTGCACTGCTGGTGTCAAAAGAGTGAAAAAGCAAGTATATTATGGGGGTTGAATAGTTTTTTTTTGATTGCACTCTTGTGTCATTTGCATCCCACTAATTCAAGATATTCAGTAAGTATGAACCATTCATTTCTGCGGTTTATGATATCTTCTAGTTGTACGTCCACCCAACGTATTATCGTGAAAAGTAATATAAGATAATATAAACTACTTAATTAATCGTAAAATCAAAACAAGCAGATTTGATTTTGCACATAATTTGTTCCCCTTTTTGAGACAAAAGAAATTTCAAGCAAAAATTGACTACATGCTTAACACGAAAATGACTAAGTGTGGAAATGAGTATATTTTGTAATTTTTCATAATGATCGAGAAAGAATCAGGTGAAATATGGAGTCTTCAAGTGTCAAATGCTGCAAGGTTCATTTTACTGTCCTGTTTCCGCAGTATACCGTATCATTACCCTACTCTTTCAAACAATGCCTTAAACATACAGACATCATCAACAACAATGAAAACTCAATAAGCGAATTAATAAACATCTCATTTATTTCTACCTGGATAATCTTCAATATATCTTGATTATCCAGTACTTTGGAGTTAATTGCACATTCAACAAATTTACTATTGTCACAGCAAGTTGCAACAGACTGGAAAATCGAGAAATTAATTATAGGTTGCTCGTATAAATTGACATCATTATCAAGTCATTCAATGAAGCTCTTTTAAAATCAAATCTATTCTTGTTATCAGCCCAATTACTCGTCAAATATTCTTCAAAATTAACCATGAGGAAAAGTTTATTTTCTTTGAGACTATGACACTACTGCTAGCGGCCATTTTGACTTCTTGTATATCGAAGAAGGAGTTTATTTAGTTTATTGTGGGATCTGATTTCTATGCCCCGGGGTCAGAGGTCGGCATCTGGAGATATTTGATGAAATTTAACAAAAATACTTACATTTTATTTGAGATATATAAACAATAATGTAGACAATACAGACTTGTTATAGAGTAAGTGTCTACATTATTGAAGTGTTTTAAAATAAAATGGAATACAATATGTTTATATCGATGTTGGAGAAAAGCAAAGTTGTTGAATTTGTGATTATAAAAATACTGTTAAGGTATCATTTGATTCAAAAATTTACGGAATATTTTGTGATCGATTTCAGTTTATTGTGTTATCGTGGTTCTTTCACCATACAGGTATAACTATCTATAGGAATAAATCTTTGGAAGATTTGACCGCATTGACAGCCCAACCAAGGTTGTATTGGAATCAGAATTCCATTTCGTGTTTATTCCCGTCAAAGTTCCATCGAAAATTTAAAGAGGTTTTCTAAATTTTGTATGTTGATGTTGACAATTTGTACCATTCCCTTTTAATCAGACGTCTTCATATATGACACAAGCAATTATTGCGAGGGTGACGTCATAAAACACACAGGTTTAGTGGAATTGCAGGAACCACAGGCGTCTGATCAACAATTGGAACGGTGCAAATTGATGCTATCAGTGTCCCGATATTATATTCTGGCGATTCCCATAGGTATACTTTCCTTGAAATGTAATACTGATTAAAGAAATACATGTATTTCAATTTGCGTGACCCTAATTGTTTTCCAAGTTATCTATTGTCTTGAAGATGAGATGAAAATTAAGTAATGATCTTCAATAATATGCTTGAGAAAAAAGATACCCATGGCGACCTTTTGTAATTATCTATAGATAAAAATAAACATATACAGGTAATTGTAGTAGTAATATGGTTGTTTTCTACTATTGTTCTACAGTGTCATTATTTCAAACTAACAAAATAGTTACAGTGGTCAAACTTTACTTGTCATTAATAATCTGAAGCTCCCCTGTAGAGAAAACAGTA